GAAAGAATTATGTATTGGGAGGATGCTAATACTCTGATGCTCACAAACAAGTTCTAGAAGTATATGCTTCTATTTCGCTAATTAAAAACCAGCAAGTTACAAATGTAGCTATGCTCAAACAACCGAGTATCTGCAGTAACTGATTATTTTCAGTTATTTGTTGAAGGAGTGATTATGGATTTTCCTTCTGCTGCCTCGGAATCAACTGGTGTGATTAGCTTTTGTTGCTCATTCTTAATAGTGGGCCTATGTTCTCCTGTTCATTAGGAACAATTCTTGACAACAAAATACACCAATCTAAAACCCCGACATATCACTTATGTCACTGAAAATAGAAGGTCAGTCCTAATTACTCAAAATCGTCAATTAAATTGTTCTGATGCAGCATGCTTAGCTCACAATGACAATGCTAGCAGGCCTGTGAAACATGAGAAACTAATTGTAATTGCTTTTGGATGTGCCTTATTTTATTTCTTATAAGATTTATGCATCAAACCTCTTGCTTCTAGCTCAGAAACCAACTTATGTTAACCAATATATTAGTCATATAGAATAAATCTTGTAATGAAATTGTTAGTGACTTGCCAAATGCACCAACATAGAAATTGTTAGTCATCCATCCAACCTCATAATAATGGAATGAATAAAAATAAAGCAAAGCCTTCCATTATGTATGCCAGTATCTGAAACAGTGATTAGATATGCTTTTGTTGTCACATTAAACAACAATGAAGAGAAATAGTAACACGGCCTATATCAAGCATGACTACATATGAAAAAATAGTAAATCAAGACAAGTGAGCTCAACTAACACCTTGCTATGGGAATATGATGGGTATATAGCAGCAAGGGTGAAACCTCCAACAAACAAATACATTGTGTGTGTGTGTGCGCGCACGCGCGTATGTATGAGTGTGTGTGTGTGTGTGTGTGTGTGTGTGTGTGTGTGTTTATCACAGCCGTTGAACCTTTCCCACCATCTCTTCCCTTTTTCTTCATCACTTCCCATTTAGTCGGAATTTGTATTTTAGTTTCATTGACTCTCCACTCTTGTTTGAAAGAGGGAGGGTTCAAAATCTTTGGCTTTTGAGAGCACAAATTAATGGTATGATCAAAAGTCTTACAAATATTACATCTTTGAGGCTTTCATGAAACCTCAACTCGAATCTCATACGGGTCACTAAATTGGCATTGTATTTGTAGCAAATTCAATAGAGCAATGCATATTTCTTAAGATATTGAGCATTAAGCTTCACTTGGTACCTAAAGTGCTAAAGTGGGATGCAAAGTTTGAGTGTAGTGAATTGCTTAAGTGAGAGGTTCAATAAACAAGGAAGAGTTTTTTGATCCTCTAAAAATAAATAAATAAATCAATAATTCCAAAATCCAAGAGACAAAAAAATCAAGAATGGATGGCAAATTATAGCCAATGTGAAAGGAAAATTTATAAGTGTTTATTTGAATGACATGTACATGGGGGGAAAAAAATATGAAGGTGTTCTCAGGAGAAGTCACAGCTTCGTGGAAAGTTTGAGGTTCGTTCTCAACCATATAAGTTAAGAAGTCTGGACTAAAAGATTTGGATATCCTAGCCCTTTTACTCCTTCTGGGCTCATCTAAAACCTCAATTTGATCATCACCTGAATCATCAATATGATCATCCTCACTAGCAAGCTCATCAAATTTCTCCAAAGACCTTGGAACCCTTTCATTGGTTCGGCAAAGAAAAATGTCTTCAAAGAAACATGCATTCCTTGACTCCATAATGGTATTCCTGTGTATGCCTGGAATTTCAGACTTATGTACAAGAAACCGATATGCACTACTATTATGTGCATAACCAATGAATATACAATCCACGGATTTCGGGCCTATCCTAACCCGTTTGGGTGTAGGAATTGCCACTTTTGCAAGACACCCCCACATTCGTAAGAATTTATACGAAGGCTTAACGCCTTTCCATAACTCTTTTGCTGAGCTCTTGGAACAAAACACACTATAGAGTGAGTCTGCCAAGCTGTTGAACACATAGTTCCGACAAAGATAGTCTGTCTGCTTCCATGTGTCAAGCGCCATGACTTTCTGCCTATCAGGCTCATTCTCTGCCACGGCTGGAGGATCCTCGCTCAGAACCTTTGCAAGATTTAGCGTGGTCAAGTAGAACAGCATCTTTTGCTGCCATCTCTTGAAGGTCACCCCAGCAAATTTCTCTGGGCGCTCATGATGACTGAGCGGTCCTCCCGGAACAGCCGGAGTAACGCCATGGTTGACCACAGAGGTCACAACAGTAGGGATTGGCAACTTAGTTGCCCCGGGGTTCAGATCCCCACCAACATTAGCAGTAGCAGCATGTGTCTAATAAGCAAATAAAACTTGTTACTACAAATTGGTAAACAAACCAACTAAATCTCAAGTAAAAAATTTCTTCAAACATAAAGAAAAATAACCAATCCAATTGAGGATTATAAGTAGTCCATACAATTCCTTTCTTCGCTTAGGTATGCCTACAAAGAGAGTTAGTAGAAAACGACAACATAATATAAAGCAATTGTACATACAATCAAATATTATTTAACCTTCTAGCAAATCATAGAATAGCAAAATAACTAAGGAATTAAGATACTATACAAGTTACAAAACCTTATAACTTCTACATAAATTACAAAACTTTAATTCATCCAATTAAATCACACACTATTCATGGAAATAACTTATGTGTATAACTCTAGAAAACTAGAAGCAATTTCACATGCAAATTAGATAGTAAAGCTAGAAGCATGCAAAATCAAAATATACATATGCAACATTAGACAAATAGGATGAAACCAAATAAGTAGCATGCAGTTTATGTAAATAATTTGAATTGTTTATATGTAATAAACTAATAACCAAGCACTTCAAGTATATAACCATTCAACCATTAACATGCAAAAATTCTAAAGATTAAATCATGTAATCTAGTCTAGAAAATAATAAGCATGTAACAAATTAAAACCTAGAATAGAATAGAATAGAATTAGCATGTCAAAATTGCAACATCAATAAAATTTATGCAAATCATAGAAGGGGAATGATGAACCATACTCATAAAATAAGATCAGAGTAATACAATTAAGTATACAAATTATGATAGAGTATTCTAATTAAACTAAACAATTAGAGAATCACATTGCATAATTTACAATAATTGAAATAGGAAGCAATTCCGCAACAGTTCCTAGTAACATTATACAAATGTCTATATAAATCTATTCGATCAATTTCATAGGAAAAACATATATGAGAAATCTGTTTTAAGCTTGTTGTTCAAATTTTGAAATTAAATAAATAGATTTATGAATAAATCAAATTATATATATACTAAGAACACATGCTAATAATTACAACCAAATTTCAACAGAAATACACAAAACAATAAAAGGGTAAAGAGACGAAACCGAAGCCTGCACGGAAGCAGTTTCCTTAAAACAGGTTTCGCCGCCTCACTGGCCGAGTGCTTGAGGAATCCCGGCGTCTGTCTCCCAGGATACGACGGTCAAAACCAGCTACGGCAGAAGCACTCTCTGTCTAGCTTAGCAAAAGTGGCAGCACTCTCTCACTGTAGGAACTTTCAGGCAAACTGACTTGTGAAATGGAAGTAAAAATTTCTATGTTTGAGACTTGACAGGAGAGTCTCAATTTATACATGTATAGGGGAGAGAGGAAGAGCCTCCAGCCTTTATGGCTGTTCATAATGCACCATCAACCTCTGCAATAAAGGCAGGAGTTACAAACCCCATTAATGTAGGAGTTACAAACCCTATTAATGTAGGAGTTACAAACTTCATTACCTGTTTTCCATGAAGCTAACTTCATGAGGTAATTTTTCATTCAAATCTCAATAGTTTTTGGCCATTCACAATAGATGGTTGGGACCCACTTTAATCTTTAATTAAAGTCACTACACTTTAATATTAAATTAAAGTCCCCAAAAATCATTTTTTCCAACAGTTTAAATTTGATTTTAAATTGGGCATAGTGACCGTGCCTACCTTTTGTTTTTTATAGCTGTCGTTTGATTAGTTTTTTTTTTTAATTGTTTTTTTTTTTGAGCTGAAATTTTTTTAATTTAAAATTAAAAAATTATTTTGAAAAATAGATTAAAAATTAATTTTTTTGACTGCACAAAGATATGGAGTGATATGATTTTCAAAAGTTAAAAAACTAATAAGTTGACTTTTAATTGTGTTCTCAAAATAAGTTAAAAGTTTGTTTGATTTAACTTTTTTAATTTTGTAAAAAAAATTAAATAATTATAATTTAAATATAAAAAAATACATGAAAAAATTGAAAAATGAAAAAAAACGTAAATTTAGAAAAAAATAAAACACATGAAAACTCATTTTTGAAAAATAAAAAATAAATTAATGTATACAAATAAAAAAAATGACAAAAACATAAATTAAAAAAAAGAACCACAAAAATACGCTTTATCCAAAAAAATAAAAACAAAAATTAACATTTGTCACATAATTTAAAAATAAATAAAACACATGAAAATTTATTTTTAAAAAATAAAAACAAATTAATGTATACCAATAAAAATAAAAAAGACAAAAACGTAATTTAAAAAAAATTGAACAAATTAATGTATACAAAGAAAAAAAAATGACAAAAACATAAATTAAAAAAAAAAAACCCATACAAATACGCCTAATCCTAACAAAAAAAAAAAAAAACAAAAAACAAAAACAAATCCGATACAATGACGCTGACGTGGAGAGTGTAAGACAAGGAACTAACATGTAAAATTAACTTCAAAAACAGTTCGGTCATTTAACATGAAGACATCTCACTAAAAAGTTAAAAAATCAAAATGACCAAATTACCGAAAAGTCAACCCGCTTATCAAATGACACCATAATATTTTTAAAATTTTTGAGAGTGCGTTGTCCATCCTTGCTCAAAGAAATTGTTTATAAAAGAATCTCTATTATAATAAATAGAGCAAGGAAAATAAATCATAAATAAAAAAATTAATTTAAAAACGTAATAAATATAATATAGATTAATATTTAAATATTAAAAAAAATTCTCTTTTAAAATTTCAGGTTAGCTCTAAAACATATTTGTTTGTTTTTGGTTTTTTAAAAACACTTTATAAATTTTTTTATTTTCTTGTATTTCATGTTTTTTTTTTGTTTTTACTGATTTTTTAAATATTTTAAGTAATTTTTTTAATTATTAGACACACCTAACATAAATACTCAAAAAAGTATAATTTTTGTAAAAAAAATCTTTTAAAAATTCACTAAATACTAAAACAAAAATGATTTATACTACTAAAAAAAAATATCACTAATAGTGCTAATGTATTGGAAATGTCAAAAAAAAACAAGACATAACCCACTGTCACATCATTAGTGATGCTATTAGAGCACCACTTTTAGTTCCCTTAATCATTTTTTATACTAAAAATATAAAAAAATACAAAAATTTAATATATTTTTCTTATTTTTATGTATTTATTAATTTTTTAACATATTTTTTCACAATTTTTTTTTTTTACTTTTTAAATACATCTAAGTGAGATGTATCTCAAAAAATAAAAAAATACTTAAAATTTTAAAAATATTAACTAAAAATAAAAAAAATAAAAAATTTAATTTTTAAAAAATTTAATCTAAAAAATTCAAACCAACCACACAAGACACATTGGGTTGGCCCTAGTATGCACACAAAACTTAGCAATCAGTTTACGCGGGGGAAAAGTGGACGGAACCTAGTGGACAAAATTTTTGTTCTAGCCTCTGCCAACCGAATTACTATTTTAATGAAAATCAAGAGATTTAATTTCCCATAATGTTACCGACATATAAATATTCAGAAATTATCAAAAATTTCACATCAATAATTCAGATTTATTTTATATGTGAATGTCATATTTTATCAATTTAATTTCCATCACCCAAATTCATTTTTGGATCCCAAATTTTGAGACGCTAGTTTTTATTTATTTATTTTCACTTTGGATGTATTTGTTTAGATGGACTGAATAAGAGAGATTATAATACATCGGATTGTTAGTCCTGAGATACATTATCCCTGAGCTATTTGATTGGACTGAATTTATATCTAATGTTTGTTTAGTCATGGAATTAGATGTCTAGATTGGTCTATTCTATTGAATCATATGTTTGTTTGGGATATTATAGAGAATGATAAATTCTCAAAAGACTATTTTGCCTTTTTAAATTATTTACTAAATAATAGGAATATTAAATCTGAATTATATATATATTTTTAGACCTTTAAAAAATTAAATAAATAGAATATTAATAAAAATTACATAAATTTATTTAATTTATAGTTGAGATTTTTAAATTTTATTTTACTTTACTAGGTAAAATTAATACCATATTATTAAAATAAATAAAACAAAGTATACATAATTTAATAAATAAATTTTATTTTTAAAAAGATATTAAATAGTAGAGGGTCAAATATGTAATTTCATTACCTAATCTCATAGTATGGGTTATCCCATGATTTGTGTCCCACCTTCCATAGGATATAATAGTCCAACATATTTGGGATTAATAATAGTCCGGTGTAAAAAATTTTAATCAAAAAATTTTAATCAAATAATTGATTATTAGTCTAGATGGACTATTAGTTCTATCCCATAAGCCAATCCTTCCAAACAAACGCCACACCTTTGAGTAGAGATTAATTGCCTGGGGTGCTACGAAAACTTCCCTTCCAATTCCATAACACTGAAAAGCAAATCAAGTCAAAACTACCAAAAAAATCCCCCTCATCTTATCTTTCACCTGTGGCAACATGTACTCCATATTCACGGACAGTCAAATTTTGGTGGAAAGCTTACGAGGCAAAACTCAAGCTGGGAGGCGAATATGGTGATTGATGATATTAAACACTTGGGTTGTTTTTTCAAGTTCCTAGCTGTGACTAAAGTAAATTGTGATGTAATTAAACCAGCACATACTCGACTCATACTTGTTAATGGTTTCTGATTATCTATATAATATTTCCTTATTCTTAAAATAAAATTTATAAAAAAAAAAAAAAAAACTTATCTTTTGGAAAACACAACGCGGGAGATAATTTGAAGTGACAAGCTTCACTGTTGCAAATAATTGTTGACCATTGATAGACTTGAATGCTCAATCAATTTTATTACACCATATGGCCATGACAATGTGAGCATGGTTCTAAAAATTCATGGCTTTCGCTTCGACTATGTTGGATTGTACCACTATAGCAAGTAAGAATGAGTCCAACTCTTCCACTTTATTATATATAAAAATAATTAAACAAATAAAATTGAATAACTAAAATCATCTAGACAAGGAACAATATCGAAGCCATTTCACACTGTTCAACTACAATTTTCGTGTCATGTGTAACCAAACTGAGAAAGAAACCGTACAACATTTAACAATGAAGCACTGTAAATATACTTAAGAATGAAATTAAATAGCATTCCACTGAGGAGGATTAGCAGGAGGAGCTGTGTAGAGAGAGGATGAATTAACCAGCACGTATGTGAATGCCAATAGCAATGATTAAAATGGTGTATACACAAAAGTAGAGGACTGCATGAACCAAGATTGACATCCCACTGGTGTACATGTTCCCAAACTCTACCACCCTAGCCCTTGCTGGCAGCTGGAACAACAGCCCTGGCGACAACAGTATGAACATCACCACTGCTACCACCACTGGTCCCCAATCATGACTACCCATCTCTCTCTCTCTCTCTCTATATATATATATATGTGTGTGTGTGTGTGTGTGTGTGAAGGTGATGATAAATACTTGATTATATCACTCACTCAACAAGTATATATATGATGAGAATAAGGACAGGCATAGTAACGTTGGCTGCAAATATGGAAAACTTAGCCAAGAAGGGAGGGGGGAGAGAGAGAGAGAGAGAGAGAGGATGCAAAACTTGGAGAGAAAGAAGACAATGGGAATTAATGGGTTTGCTACGCAGGGAGGAAAGGTATATATGTTATTATGTGGTAGTGGGAATTTGCTTTATTATGACGACAGTCAAAAGATACTACTTTTTCCTAATATAAGCTTCCAATAACTGATCTAGCTTTTTACAGATGCAAGAAGGTGGTGGAAGTCCTTGTATGAGAATTTAAAAGAAAGAAAAAGAAAAACAGGGAAGGCTGAGTAGAACCTGTAAAGCTCAAGGAAGTAAAGCTAGTTGGGTTAGGAATGCTTTCTCGTTTGGTTTTCCGCTTTTCAGTAAAGGCTAAATTGCGCATCACAGTGGGGTGGATGTTAAAGCTTAATAGAAGAGATAAATAAGGAAAACTATTTGGTTTAAAGGCTTCTTTGAAAATAAATTATTTTAATAATTTTTTGATTTTTTATAAAAAGATATGCAAAAAAAATAGATAGAATGATGTGATAACTTATAATAACTTTTTAATTTTTTGACTAAAATAATTACTCTCCAAACGAGGCCTTAGAGACACCTCAAATAAGATGTTTATTGATTTATTTTTATTATATTATTTTTCTATTTTTTTTGTACATTTTTTTTAATAAATAAAAAATTAAAAAATAAGTCATTCATAAAACCATTCTAAATTATTTGGGTAGACCTCACGTCATCGTGAAACTTCTTGATAACTAGGTACTACACCAGATCATTAGAATGCCAACAATATTCAAAATAGTATATCTAGAGCTCATTTGGCATAAAAAAGTCGTAGGTGTTTTTGATTAAAATAGTTATAAAAAGATAAAATAATTTTTTTAGCTCAATAAGATAAAATATCACAAGCAATTCATAATCATTTTATTTTTTCTCTCACAAAAGTTAAAAAAATCAAAAAATTTATCCCAAACGAGACTTTTTAACTCCAGACTGAAATGACCAAAAAGTCAAAAAAGCAAACTCACATCCCAAACGAACCTCTATATGGACAAGTTATTTCAACAATATTATATTTTTTAATTTATCATCCCTAAATGAACCGTAATGATATGACATTAAGGTAGATTTAACATGATAAAATATTTGATAAATCAAAATTTAATACTTGTCAAATACATCATTAGAAGTGATTTTTAAAGATAATAAATTCAGTATTCCAAACATTTTTCAAAAAATTTTATATGTTACACCATCCACTTCATTTTTTTAAACAACTTTCAGAATAAGCTTTCATAATTCCTTTCATTTTTCTAAGTGATTATTGTTGAGGGCATAAGAAGGCCAAACGTTAAAATTTAGTAGTGTTTGTCTTTGAAGTTGCTATTTACTAATGAATACTTTTACAAAAGTTTTTATTTTTATTTTTATTTTTTTTGTTATTATTTTATATTTTGCAAAAGGAATTGGGTGGATTGGGCCAATCCTCCTAATGCATTCTTAAAACATAACTAATTTCGTGGATTGGGCCAATCCTCTGCACCCTGCAGTAGGTGATTCTATTTGTACCCAAATATAAAGCAGTACGTCTAATTAAAATTTAGAAAATGAGTGAGAGCACTAATTAGTGCTACTATTAATGATGTGGCAGTAGGTCTCACCATGAATGATTTGATGTTTTAGCCTTGATGTTGTATTTTTTTCTTTTTTTATTGAGTGTCATGTCATTAGTGATCTTTTTAGAGCTCTAAAATTAGTGGTCTCTATCATTGTTGTTAAAATTTTAATTCTAATTATATTTTATTAATAAGAACAATAAGCATTAAACTCTAAAATATAATATTTTATTTTTTTCGTGATACATCCTAATCACTCATATTCTTGGGAAAGAACTAATTTCCCTTCTCCATTATCAACCTTGAGAGTGAAAGTGGGAGATCCATGGGAGAGCCTTGCCATTATTCTATTCTCTAGCCATTTTGCCTTCTTCTTCACCCAATCTCTTATCTCCATCATCTCCTTTGTTGTTGTGTTCCTAAGTTGAGATTATTGAAGAATCTAAACCTCTTATCATATTCTAGAGAATTCGAAGTTGTTCTTCAAGGATCTTCGAAGATCTTCAAATTTTCCAACTCCTTTCTTGAACCCTCTCCTACAAGTTTCAAATAGAAAAATGTTTGAACAAAATCAAACAATAAATAAAACTAACAATCAAAAGAATTTTTTGAAACAATCTATCACCCAATTATGTGTGAATTCAGATGGTCGGGGTTAAAAAGGATTAGCTGGAGAAGATGGTTGAGAAGCATAAAAAGAAACCAAAGTTTGCTGCTTGATTTATTAGTAAACATTCACTCATTATCTTTATCTTTCTTTTCTTTTCTTTTCTTTTGTTTTTTATTTATTTATAATCAATATGCAGAATGAAAACTAATTGTGACGTTGATTGTGTTGAATGTGTATTGTTTGGTAATAGAAACTCAAAACAACATTTCATCTACCTTTTTATTTTTGTGATACCCATCTACTTTTTTTTATTGATGTTGAGAGCTTTCAACAAGGCAGGGGTGTTGAAGAGTTTGTACATGCATGAAAGATCTGTTTAAGAAATCTATTTAAGGGTTTTTAATGTTCTTTTAAATGGTGTAATTTTGGATTTTTAATTTATTAGTATTTGTGTACTATAAATTATGATTTTATCTTGAAAGGTAATTTGTGAAATAACACATAGATATACTGAAAGTAAATTATAATCCTATATAATTTAATGAAAAATATTGAAAAATTGAATGTATTGAATGATTTTATTATTATTATTATTATTATTATTATTATTATGTGCAAATAAAATCACGCCAAGAAGTTGCTTAGTCGGGCCTAGGGTGCTGTGGATTAGGATCAGGCTTAACCGAAATTGCGTGGATTGGGCCAATCCTCCTAATAAGAATGACACCAAAATTATTTATTTTTATTTCCGGAAGAAATATTCTATTGAATATTAACGTAATAAGAATCGATTATTTCACAAATTATGTTAGGAAGTAAGGGTGTAAATTTAGCCCGGTTCGGCCTGGCCCATGTCAAGGTTCGCAGGTTTCCGTCACAAATCAGGTCGGGCAGAGTCACAGGTCAAAAAATTAGGCTCAAGCCTAGAGGTATTCGGGTCTTGGGCGGGCTTGAACAATTTTTTTTGTTTTTTTAATTTTTTCTACCAATTTTTTTTTATTTTTCCCTAAAAAAAACACTGGGTTTCGAGCAGGTTGAGCCTTAAGTGGGTCTTAAGCGAGCCGATGGGGAGGTCTTCAAAATGATGGCCCAAGCCCTATCTCAGGATCTCGGGCCGGGGCCCCAACAGGCCTAAACAAGTTGGGCTCACCACGGGCAGCGGGAGGGATTTGGGCTGTCCTAGGGCCACGCGCTGTTTTTACACTTCAAGAAAAAGTCGACATCAAAACAAGAAATTTTTTTGAGAATCGATATTTTTTAAAATATAAATATGAATTAAAGGGTGTTGTCTTACCAAATGAGGCTAATTTGGATGATTCAATCATTTTACTTAAAAACTTATGTGGGTATATCATTTATAAAAAAAATTAAATTAAATTAAATTAATCTAATAAGTATAAACATATAATTTTATTATATTTATCTATAAAAAAATAGACAAACTAATTTTCAAATTATTTTTATGGTTTATTTTTTAAAAAAACTAATACATTAAGACTGTGATCATCAAAGCACATAATTTTTTTTAAATGAATGATTTATTTACATAAACTTAAAAAATAAACAAACAAATAGAACTCATAGTAAATCTTACGAGTTTGAAACACCTTCCAATCCCCTTCAGTTCATATAGCGGACTCCACACAAACTCAATCAAAAAAATTTACGTTTTTTTTGGAGCATTATTTCACTTGCATCAGCAATTATAATATATATATCTATATATATAATTGCCGAGGAACATGGTAATGTAAAAAAGGATGATATTACCAGTATATTTGACCAAGGAAATGCTTTACCAATCAGTTTGGAGTTTAAAACGAAGGATGAGGAGCAACCAATAGCTTTCCAACATCAATATAAACTAAAAAGATGCGGGTGCCGTCCTCCTTGAGTCGAGTGCCGGACGAAAGCCTCCCTTTCTCGTCTAAAAAGCCTCCACGTAGCCGCCCTTCTCACAGGGACGTCCAATCCAATGCCTCTCATTCTTATTTCTTTCTTTGTCTCCATTTCCTCCTCCTCCTCCTACTACTACATTCACTCTCTACTTAGTCCATCATCTCTCTCTGAATAATTCTACCTGTTAGCTATTATTATCCACCTTACAAGCTCACTTCTTCTCTTTTTTTGAAGGGTTGGGGGGATTTTAGAGAGGAAGATATCATCATCATCATCAGTTAGGAGAGAGAGAGAGAGATGGGGTCGGGGGATTGGGGACCGGTGGTGATAGGGGTGGTGCTGTTTGTGGTGCTGACGCCGGGACTGTTGTTCCAGCTCCCCGGTAAAAGTCGAGTGGTGGAATTCAATAACATGCAGACTAGCGGGGTGTCCATATTGGTTCACACCATCATCTTCTTCGGCCTCATCACCATCTTCCTCATCGCTATTGGCGTCCATATCTCTTCCGGTTAAAACTCAAATCAATTATATATTATTCTCCATCTCTGTTTCTTGTTGCTTAATTCTACTTTCACTTCCTCCCTCCCTCTCTCCCTCTGCAATTTTTTGTTGCCAGAGGGCTTGGTTGGTTGGTTTTCTTTTGTAATTTTTCCGGGAGTTGTTACACGAGACCGTTTGAATATCTTTTACTTAGCTTCTCTTTTGTAATTCTTGTTAATAGGATTGATGCTTTGTTTGCTCATTTGGAAGTAGTTATTGGATTTTGATCCTTTCCATCATCGTTACACTTACTGTGGTGAATTTTTTAACAATAATGAATGTATAACAATGAGGATCTCAATTCATAGTTTTAGCGGATAATGCTCACTCACTCCTTTTCACCCGACTAGGTGTGAGAGGTGAGTAATTATTCAATAATTTTAAAATATAAATACGTGATATTTGATGGAGAAAATGAATAAATGAGATATTATATTAGATAATTGAGAAATATAAACGATATATTAAATAATGATTAATTAAAGAATACGGACACGTAATACTTTGAGAATATTCATGAGAGGCTATGAGAATATTCATGAGAGGCTATGAAAGTTATTTGAGATGTTCTGAAAAAAAAAAAAAATTTTGAACTAATAAATAAGTTGAAATGTCAAAATTTACTTATCACCAATTAAATAATTAAAAATAGTATTCAATTTTTTTTTCAAAAAATAATAATAAAAAGAAAATATTTGGGATCTCTTTTGGAAATACTTTCACCACTCTCACAATGATGTGGATTAATGATGTTTTTGTTTTTTTTTTTTTCTCTTTCTTATTTGGGCCAATCACAAGTGAGAGTGAGATTGTAGAGATGATGTTTTATGGGCGTTAAGATCATCTAGAGTGAAAAAGGTAGAGTGATCTCTTACAGTAATTAATGTGGGCGCGACACCTGTCCCAATAATGGAACCAAGGGTTGAGATCAATCCCTCATCAAAATGACGTCGTTTTGGTGCGGGCATTAAAAAAAAGAAAAAAAAATACGAATTCTCTATCTCTCGCTCTCTCTCATGGAGGACTCTGTTGAAGAACAATCTACAGTCACTGGTACCAAAACCTATGCTCTAATCTCTCTCTCTTTCTCTCTACATATTGAAATATGTGTGTTTCTAATGTTTTTGACCTTGATTTTGCAGCGAACGCAGGGAAATCAGGTTCCAAACTCTGATATCTGCTGCGATGGACGACTAAATTCAAGGAGGAAAAGGTCTAAATCTCCTGTTTTGCAGTTTTTGCAATTTCTGTGGGTTTGAGTACTGTAGTACAACTGGTGTGGAGAATAAAAAATTGGAAATTTTAGGTTGTTATGGTCAAAGATTTTCGATTCAGTACGGGTTTTATATTAGATCAGATTATAAATCTTCTTAAAAAGGGGGGAAATGTTGGGAGAGTATCATTTAGGTTCTAGGTTTTTAATAAAATTTCCGTCAGTCTTGTTAGTAGGACAAGGTTGAGTGGGTTTACATTTTCTCCAAATCATTTGAGTAGTGCTTGACACATTTGATCAAGATGCTATCTGTCTTTGATTGTGATGACTTACGGTAATTGATGAGGAAGTAATTAAGGGGTAAAGAAGAGGGGTGGGTTTGAGATTGAAACAAACAAATAAATTACACAATATGTGATGTATACAGATGGACTGCAGCCACCGGAGTGAAGGAGAGTGCGCCGGAGATGGAGAAGAACTCCGGTTGTGTGTCCTCTCTCTCTCTCTCTCTCTTCGTTTCTCTTATCACGTTTACCATCGTTTTGGTGAGGGATTGATCTCAACCCTTGGTTCCATTAGTGAGACAGGTGTCACGCCCTCATAAATTACTGTAGGAGATCACTCTACCTTTTTCAGTCTAGAGGATCTCGACGCGTTTTATGGAGTTTCAATCATTACTGATAATAAAAATACTTAACTTTCCAAATGTGTCATAATATCTTTTAAATTTTACAAAAAAAAAAAATCAAAAATATCTAAAAAGCTACTCCTAAAAAATTAATTAAAATATTTTTTAAAAATTACTTTAAAAAATTAAAATGATATTTAAAAATTTAAAATTAAACATTGGAGAGTAAATTAGAGATTAAAATAATTAATAAGATAAAATAAATTAAAATAATTAATAAAATAAAATTTCATATTTAAATTATAATTATTATTTTTTATAATTATTAATCAATTAATAAAAAATTAATTAATTTTACAAACATAAATTTTTTAAGAAAAATGATTAAGATCCTTTTTTTCTCATTCCTTTTGACCCATTCTCTTTCTTGATTGGGTAATATTTATTTATTTTTTATTTTTTTTCTTCTCCTCCAATCACCACATACCACGTATGTATAGATGATGAGAGTCGGTGATTGAAGGAGTCTCAATCACAATTACTTTTTAAATTAAATTGAATTAATTAAAAAATTAACTAAAATAGTCAATTTTTTAAACCGTGTGTGTATTGTTTTCGACGACACCAGCCCAGCCTACTCAAAATGATTTGATTGAAACCTAACACCATAAAATAATGAGGCCAATCCAAAAATAACAACGCATCGGAGGAAGTACAAATGAGGCCAATCCAAAAATAACAACGCATCCGAGGAAGAACCTAATGACACTAGACAGGAGGGACAAGGATAACGATACAATAATGATTCATTCCATTAAAAACATCACTACTAATAGTACTAATGCATTAAAAAAAAAATACAATTTCAAGATCAAAACATCACATTATTAATGACGGGAGAATGGGAGCACTAATTAATGCTCCCAAGTATTTTTCGATAAGGATAAGGATAACGACGGCCGTCTTTTTCAAACCAACTTTGATAGGACCCACAGATGTCCGGTTAATTAAAATAGTCAATTTTTTAAACCGTGTGTGTATTGTTTTCGACGATACCAGCCCAGCCTACTCAAAATGATTTGATTGAAACCTAACACTATAAAATAATGAGGCCAATCCAAAAATAACAACGCATCCGAGGAAGAACCTAATGACACTAGACAGGAGGGACAAGGATAAGGATAAGGACGGCCGTCTTTTTCAAACCAACTTTGATAGGACCCACAGATGTCCGGATCCAAAATAAACGGTCCACCATAGGCCAAGGCCCAAACATCGGATTTTTTTTTTTATTATAACAATAAGTTTCATTTAAAAATTGATTGTTTTAGTTTTAATTTTTTTTATTTTTTATAAAAAAATATATATAAAAAATAAAAAATCATATGAAAATTTATAGTGATATTTTAACTTTTTTAATTATAAACTCATGTTGCCAAACCAAGCCTATTTCTATATTATTGCTATATATTATTTGATTTTTCATGCATGAAATATTTGTTTTTACTAATTTTTTAATAATTGTTTTCAAATAATAGAATTAACGTTAAGTATTTATGTAAACTGTGATACATAATAAAAAATAGAGAAAAGATAGGGATCATGAAAAAACTTTCATGAAACTGATCATGAAAAATTTATGACCCTTAGATTACCTTGATTAGTGTGTGGTGTTTTATTTTAAGTGTAATCCAAGAGTCATGAATCTTTCATGATCATTTTCATGAAATTTTTTTCATGATACGTAGCATTGCTCTAAAAAATAAGTCATACATAACATGTCTATAATGCTATGTACACCCTTTACATAAATCATACATATTAATTACGTGGATTCTTGTGGGAAAAGTAGGTATAAGCACTGTTGTTTGTATTATCTTAGGAATAGTTTGGCTAGTTAATTTCGAGAATGGTTAACCAATTGTATGTAAAGAATTTTCGGACTCGTTCGAAATAGCCCCTTTTGTCAATTCTAATTTCAGCTTCTAGAACTTAAAATAAAATGCTATATAAACTAAGCAACAAAAATAATATGAAATGACTTGAAAATCATTGATTTTATCATTTTCAAACAAAAGACTATTAAAGTGATTTTAATTTTGAAAAAATGCATAGTTCTATATAAAAATTGAGAAATGTTATTTATCAACAAATTTATTGTACTATTTTATTTCGCTTAAAAATCATATGCATTTATAGGACTTTAATTTCAAGCAAAGCATTGCAACCTAGCTCTTGGACATGGTAGATACTACAACAAATGCATACAAAACCCTAATTTCATACACAAATCAAGATGACATTAGCTTAAATTGATAGGACTGCAACTATATAACTAATACTAGTTGGAGTGAAGGGGTTGAGATCTCTAGTGCATGCATGTCTTGAGACCTCTTACGTTCCGAGTAGACTTGAAGTCAGTCAGTCATTCAAGCCTGAAACGCTCTTGAACGTAAGAGATATAAGTTGCAGCCTTCATATCAACACCTTCATCCTCAACCACACTGTAGAAGTTCTCAAACTTGGTATATGATTGGTCACGGTGATTCTCTGGTGGCACGAACGAAACTTTCTGATTCGACTGAGGTGTTACGTGGTTGTGGCTGACGATGATGCCCACCGAGCCAGCTGAAGAAGCTGAGGGAATTGGCTTCACCTTACTGTTATATTGCACCGTTGAGGAAGCCGGCTTGGCTGCCCGATAGAAAGACATCATCAGCTTCCTCTTCAATAAGCCTTCGCGTTTACGGTTCGTCTCCATTGATTTGATTCTTACCCAACACTTGTAGCTCTAGCTAGCTACCTATCAAAATTGAAAACTGAACTTCTTGTTTTTTGAGTGCTGCATTGTCAAGTGTCAGCTCTCAGCTCTATATATAATTGTTTTCAGTTGTGGAATTTTGGACAAGATTTACATGAATCCTTGTATGTACTGTGGAGTCGGTCTGGTCCAAAAAGAAAATATATCTAGAATCCTTGTACGTATGGGTGAGATATTTTGTAATATGTTGTTAAGAGTTTTTTTAAAAAAAAAAAATTAATATCAAAAGTTTGGTTCGGTGGAAGAGATTTGGGACTTGAGGCTGTCCTCTCTCTAAAGTAAGAATTTAATAATCTGATATGTGTAAATTGGTTCAATATATCTTACATATCGAAAATAGAAAGAAAAAAAGAATTGAGTTCTGTTTAAAAGTTAATTATTAGAGAATTAATATACGTAACCCTAGGAAGCTATAAAGGGATAGAAGATAAAGTTTATAGGTTAGAAATATCTGACGAAGATGAAGTGTGCCCTATACTTTTAATGTAGGCCACCCCCACTTGGGAGAACATTTTGCTTCCTTTTCTTTCATGGCAATTTGTAGTAGCAGTATCTCCTGTTGCGTTTTGCCCAATCAAATTGGGATAATGCTATACAACGGAATTTGTATCTCATTGAATCATAATTGTCAAAATGTTAATGGTATATCATTCTAAACAGATTTTATGTACACCAGTATTGTTTATGAATCATTTAATCTCTATTAAAATTGTATTATTTTTATTTCTCGTCTCATAAAACTGTATGCACCATTGATGTTCTGAAGATTGTGAGTAATTTAAGTGACTATTGACGTTCAATTTTTCATGGGCCGAGTATAGCGACTATTCTGGATTTTTGAGAAGCCTATTGATAGGATGAAACACGAGAAAAAAGGCAAAATCATGTGAATGCAGATCACTAGTTCCCTTCCATTCATCATTCTCTGTCCCTTTTTATTTGATTGCTTCTATAATATTTACTTTTGCTGATATGGATAATAAGATGAAAGAGGACAAAGAATGGAACATAGAAAAGAGTAGGTGATCTTGATTTGAATCATGCGTGCCAGATGATTTCTACTTGGTATTCATTCAGAAGGGATCAAACAAGGAAGGAGTGGATTGGGCATAGCATAGTTATACAATCTGAAGTGGGTAAAAATCAAACACAGTTGCACATTGGTTAATATTGGACAAGATTTTGTGATGAATTTTATCTCATTCATTGTTTGAGGCAAAATCCCACCACAGTGCTATATCACCCACTGGATAAGCTATTTAGCACAAATTGCATCTATATCTAGTTTTATCCCCCCCACCCAACAAAAAAAAATGAAGAAAATCCCTCAAACACCAGATGAAGCTGAATTTATATGGATCTATATCTAGTTTTATCCCCCCCACCCACTAAAAAAAAAAGAAGAAAAACCCTCAAACACCAGATGAAGCTGAATTTATATGGATCTATATCTAGTTTTATGGAATCATTATTTTTCATATATAAACCCGAAACAGAACCACAATGTATGTATTTGTTTATAGATTATGGTTCTTGAGGAATATCATCTGGATTTATATGGATCTATATCTAGTTTTATGGAATCATTATTTTCCATATATAAACTCGAAACAGAACCACAATGCATGTATTTGTTTATAGATTATGGTTCTTGAGGAATATCAGGTTGAGATGAGACAATTCATCCCCATGTCGGTATAATCGTATAATTACTGTTAACAAAATGCTTTGTAATGCTTGTTACTGTTTTTGTGAGAATCTGGCATTACATGACATAAACTATATGCTATATATATACTTAATTATGTAAACTATATAGATATTTCTGAAGTGAGGTTCAAATCTGAAGCTATTAAGGCCCCAAATTGAACAAACATGTTGGAAAGACAATACACTCGACCCGACGAGGGATAAGGACGGTGTCTTTTTCACAACTTTCCAGTCTCTCTGTCATGAAGCTTTTTCAAGGAATACATATATATATTTAAGTTCTGCTTTTTTAATGCCACAACACATACTAAAAGTTGGTAAAAAGATAGGGCACTACACCGCAGCAGCATCAGCTCTGCAGCGAAATTGACTCATTTCGAGTCTTATTTTGATAATTCGAGCTGTTCACATTTTAAAATACATCAAGTAGAATATTTCTGTAAAAAATCAAGTTAATCGAATATCATTTACCCATTCATCCACTCACATTTCTATCTATAAAAATAAATAATAATTGTGATTTAAAGTACTAAAATGAATACAAATGTGAGTGGATGAATAATTAACTTGATTTTTGCAAGTATGTTCATTCTAAAATGTGAACAGTTCAGATTATCAAAATAAGCTTCGAAATAGGCCCATTTCGCCGCATGCCAGATGCTGCCGCGCATCCCGCGGATCAGTATCCCCAAATTCCACTACACCGTCTATAGGCTTATCAGTTTGCAAGTTGTGTGTAAAGAGCACTTGGGGGTATGACATGTTGTATTACCTCTATTATTATTACAGTATTTTCATTGTGTGAATAAAAATAGTTCAATTTGTGTTCGACATAAGGAACAATAGAGAAATTTCCAAGCTTTTGTTCTTCTCAATGTCCTGATGATATGCCCAATATATGTTCCTACTCAAATAGGTGCATGTATTAATATATATATATTCAATTGTTTTTGAGAATGTGTCCATACAATCTATTGCTTGTCATTAAAAAAAATGTATAATTTATTTTTCAAAATACAATTATTGTTCATTTTTTTAGTAAAAAATTGAACAAGTTACAATTATCAAATCGACTTAGTTTTTTATATGGATGAAATACACGACATATCGAATAAAATGACCGGTTCAAATCAACGAAATGAGGCTGTGGACCCAAATAGCACCCTGCAGTTCAAAATCTGGACCAGAGCAGATCCTTCTCCAAAATTAAAAACTTGAAAGCAAAACTATTTTGGTTTGGCTTCAAAATCAATTCTTAAAAAAAATAAAACTAATTTGATTAAAAAATTTAAAAATATTGAAAACACTCATGATTTTTTGTCTGATTTTTTTTATCAGAACATAAATAAAATTAAAAATTAAAAAATATCATTATTCAAGTGTAGTGTGGAGTAGGAGTGCAACTCGGATAGGTTTGGTTGGGTTGAAAAGTTGTTCAAGTCCAGCCCAAGTTATGCTGAGATCTGCCCAAGTCCGTCCAAGCCCGAATTGTAACCCGAAGTTGTCTGCCTATGCCCGACCCGAATTAAACCCGAGTTACTCGAATTGTGAATCAATTTTAATTTTTTTTATTTTGTTTTGTTTTGTTTTTTTTTCCAGCTACATTATTAAATTATTAAACTTTTACTTTATTTATATTTTTTTTAAGGGCAAATTACACTAACAATCCCTATAGTTTGGGACTCGTGTCACTTTAGTCCCTGACTTTTTAATTGTGACACATTTAACCTTGAATTTTGAATGTTGTTTCAAATAAGGACAATTAAAAATACCATCGTTTAATTTCAAGGAGAAAATTGTCAATTTAATAAAATATAAACTAATTTGATAAAAACAAATGTCAAAAAAATATTTCTAATATTTTTAAAATTATTTTTATCCACCAATGATAAAATTATGTAAAATTGATAAAAATTAATAAAAATTACATGATTAATTTTTAAAAATTAATTTGGTAAAAAAAAATGTCTAAAAGATTTATCAATTTTATATAATTTTATTTTTAGTGGGTAGAAATAACTTTTAAAAATTCAAAAATATTTGTTTGACATTTATTTTTGTCAAATTAGTTTATATTTTATCAAATTGACAATTTTACCCTTGAAAAATCTAATGATATCTTTAATTGTCCTTATTTGGAACAAGATTCAAAATTCAGGGTCAAACGTGTCACAATTGAAAAGTCAGAGACTAAAGTGACACAAGTCCCAAATTATAAGGACTATTACTATAATTCACATTTTTTTAAAATAGAAAATTATTAATACCATCAAAACAAATAATTTATATAATGTAAGAAAGATACCATTATAGTAGTCTTTATAATTTATGAGTGAAAATAAAAAAAAAAAGTAAGATTTTATACTATTTGTATATATAATATATATTCAATATAATTTAATATCTAAATTATTTTAATATCATGTAATGATTAATAGTTTTTTTTATATATATTTAATATTTTTATATATCTATATATGTATAATTTAGATTTTAGATTGCTCGAGTTGTTTGATATCTTTGCCCAAACCCGTCCAAATTTAATTCGAGCTTCTAAATATTTGCCCAAACCCGTACTGAATTTGAAAATATCTTGTCCAACTCCTAAAAAAAATCAGGCTGAATTCGAGTTGTTCGGATTGACCCCACCCAAGTTGCATCCCTAGTGTGTAGTGGATCCCTTCCATTTTGTGCACTTTTTCTAGAATAAAATAAAAAAATAAAGAATAGTGGACATCATCACAGAGCTAAGCTACACAGACCACTCCTACTTCAAGCTGTAAACATTACCAGAAAAGAAAAGATACTCTTGATACCATAGAGGTCTCACACACACACACGCACCACCTCACCTTTGCTTGCAAGTGGGCTGTTTGTTGGGATTCTTTTACTCATTTATCTTGAATTTGGATTTTATGTTCTTCGACTGACCACCCATACTAGTCAAGAGTCTTTTCTTCTAGTCTTTGTTCTGCTTTTAATACCGCAATTAGAACGAGACACAATCATTTTATGTAGGTGTGAGACCCACAAAAATATAGATTCTCACCTCATGTAAAAGAATTGTATTTGATTCTATAAATAATATAGCTCTCACCATTATTTGAACCACACATTGCTTTCTAATTTATTTTTTGTGCACAAATTTTATTTAAGAGTCTGATTTTATTTACAAATTTAATAAGTGTGACAATATAATTTTCTTTTAAGGCACTAGGGTGAGAATATGCGGGCGGGGCTGGCCAGGAAGTTCCATTTGATTTGCCTCCTGATTTGTGGGTGTACGGATAGTTTTTTAGTCCATAAGCCAATCTCCTTTAGTACTCCTCTCAAACATATTATAGAATTTCTCATATTGAAACAATTTTGCATCAACACCCATGTGTGACCCTTGTTTGTTGATTACATTCCTGCATCAAGATACTGCAACTATAGTAAATCATGTGAAGGCACAATGGGTAGCCTAATTCTCAAATAAACCCGAGTTACAAGTCTTATGACATCAAACTAACCAGAAGAATTCCATTCATGTTGAGTACTATCTTATAAATATAGAATTACTCAAATCAATTATTTGATTATATCTATGCTCCAAAATCTCATCAAAGTTATTCCTTGTCAAAACTAATCGGGAAGGGCTGTCCTAGTTCAAAGCAGAAAGCCATACTATACCAAAAAACAAAAACAAAAAGTAGAAAACCACACAGCACTCTAATTCTGATCCTGAACCTGCATGTTCAACTAATCAGATAACTTTCACCGGGAAGTAAGAGTGATATGCTATCACAAATCATAATACGCAACAGTCAAAGTCACTTGTACCTCAAAGTAACTAGGACAATTGAAAAAAAAACAATTTGAGAAGACTCAATGCACACACACATTCTGGAGCTGCTCTCATCTTAAAACTACAAGAAGCCAGGTTGCTAAACGCCGTACACTTACTAGTCAAAATCAATTAAAAACTGATGTCATATGCCTTCTTCTTTTTGGACTTGAGCATCACAAACCCAACAAAGACAGACAAGAAGCAGAGAATTGCCACACCAGCAAGTACAGGAATGAGAATGGTAAATTCTTGGGGAAGAAAGTACTTGTGGATAAAGTGATCGTCAACAAATGGCTGAAATTGCGTAGAAATAGAAAGTAAACAACAAATTTATTCAAGTTTGAAACAAAAATTTTGAACTAGATGAAATGTAAACTGACCAGGATGATGACCCAAAAAGTATAATAAGTGAATATGGATAGGCTGACAACGGATAACAGAAACCCAACGGCCTTGTCAGCTAATTCCATTACGATAATTGTGGGATTTTGCTGCCAGTAATAGAATTCAGCGAATTAGCATCTAAACTCTGATTTTGATGTTTCCATTGGTTTAGAAAGCGTTCCATAGCATGAGCATGCTGCTTAAGCGTGTGGATCAACATGAATCAAATAAACCTCACTAGTAAAGAGAATCCCAGTCATATATGTATATTCTAAGAAGCATGGACACGGACACATGACACGACACGGATACGACACGGACACGCCGACACGATAATTTTCAAAAAATGTAGGACACGACACGCGGGGGACACGCATGAAATATATAATTTTATATATTTATTATATGTTATATATATGAATATATCATTCAAAAATAATAAAAAAATGCAATATGACATTAATCCCTATAAATTTATATGATTTTTGTTTTATTATTGTATCTTAAGTTGTTTTGTTCAAACTTATAATTAGTTTCACATGTGTCTAATTGATAGACATGTGTGTTTAAGAGATGGACACGTGTGTCCTCCAAGTGTCCATAGAGTGTCCGGGTCTTTAAAAGATAGGACACGTTATAAAGAGTGTCGGACACGTGTCGGGAAAGTGTCCAAAAAGTGTCGGTGTCCGACACGGACACGACACGGATACGTTACCTTTTTAGAAGTGTCCGTGCTTCTTAGTGTATATTAGTCTTTAAATGACAAGTACCTGAAAAAAAATAAAGAACAGGCATTTACCACAGCTATACAGTGGAATCTCATCGCCCTAAGGTAATGTTTGATTCACTGGAATGAAATGATCATTCTATTAAAATGTTTATTCCTATGTTTGGTTGACTAAAAACATAATGACAAAATGCATTACAAATGGAATCATCATTCACCATTTCAAATGAATGGTTATTTCATGTAAAAGTTTGAGGAATAATTATTCCATTCCATTCCAACTCATTTTAGTGAATCAAATAGAGCCTAAATGATCTACTATTCCGGTTCCCCCACCCCACTACTCAACAAAAACAAATAAAAAACAAAATTCCACAAAGTACAAAACTATTGTGCATAAAGAACTATCCAACACTGCAATTAACAGAGAATTTAGCCCATTACTGGACAGGGAATTATATCTTGCAAAGAGAACCTCATTCAGAATCCAACCACTTAAAACTTAGCAAAAGAAAAAACTCAAAAAACACCCAACACAACACAACACAACAATCATATAAGAACTCAGCACGATGCAGTAATTCATTATCCCTCCATAATATTCATTAAACTAAGTTGAGAAATGGTATATCTAATTGAGCGAAACATGTTTCTTGCCAGTAAATTCTTTAAACAACTACTCAGATGTTGATGTATTTGTTATGGAATATCCCAAACTCTCTTCACCAAATAAGATTAAAACCACAATGCTTTATGGTAGTCAACTAGACATAACTAGACATTATCGGTTGTCAATTAATTAAATTTTAGAAGGTATGCAATATCTGTGATCACAAATAAGACTGGTTTCAGAAGGTGCAGTAACCACAGTTGCAAACAAGAAAAACCACACTACATTCAAACAGAAGAAAAAAAATTCAAACAGAAGAAAAAAAAATACAACCATGAGCATGAACTATGTAGCACTATCAATCTGGCATCAAAAACAAAATTAGCATGCCTGTAAGCAAAATTTCAAGCAACCACGAAGAAAATTGTCAAAGCAAGATACTATAAAGACTATTGACAACTATAACCAAAAAATTATAACATTTAGCTAATGTTTGGTTCAGTATAATAAGGTGGAATAACTTCCCTATAGAATGACCATTCACTTACAATAATGAATTATGATTTCATTGGAAATGCATTTTATATTTTTTAGAGAACCGAATATTATAATGGACATTTTGATCATTCCATTCCACTTCATTCTCATTTGAGTGAACCAAACACTACTTAAGGGTCTGTTTGATTGAATGAATTAAGATTTTTAATCCATAGGACTTGCATTCTAGTGTTTGGTTGCAAATTTTGTAATCCGGATTAAATGTCAGTAAACATTATCCAACAAAATTGGTGAATTTTTCAATCCTACAACTAATAATGCAAAACAAACATATAATAGAAATTATATATTTTTATATCTATTATTATTTATTCCACTATTCTAGTTGGATAATCAATCCTACACTAATTCCATATATTATTAATCCCCTCACTATTAATCTTTCTAATCAAACAAGGCCTAATTCTCAGAATTTTTGGTGGAATCACGTAACATTCTATTACATCAGTAGCTGATATCAGTTTCTATATATACATCATCAATCATCCAAATCAGAACATATATGCATGTGTATAGAAACCACAAGGTTAATTCAAGTATCTTGAAATTTATGAAATTCGAATCGCATTTGAGTCAATCAAAACCCTAATTTCAATACATCAATTGTGCTAATAAGAAAAACAAAATAAAATGGTTTCAATTGAAGGAATTCGATACCTTTTTCGGGCGATTAGAGGATGGTGACGACGATCCTTTGCCGGACTGTTCAACCCCTTCAACTGACCTTTAACTTTCGGAGAATTGGGATTTGGATCCTCTCCGGCAGTAGCACTGTTCCAGCTGCATTAAAAACACCTGCGTTATGAACTGCATTAACCAAAAAAAAAAAAATTAACGGCCAACAAAAAAAAAAAACTTGATTAACCGTTGGGAAAGTGGTAAAAACTAGAATAAAATTGAAAACAATTTAGAATAATGCTATATGTATCAATTAGTATATTAATTAATGTATTAATTAATGATGTATCATAATTTAAGAATTTTTAGTATTTGTAACTTGTATAATGGATGAAATCAATAATAATGTCATAAATAGTGTTGGTACACTAGTTAATGAGTCCGGATTCTCGGTCGCCCTACCCGGCAGCCGTTTCCAGCAGCCCCCAAAACGACGTCGTTTTGGGGGCAAATTTTCAAAAAAAAAAAACACAGAGGAAGAGAGGGGGGGAGGAAGGAGAGGAAGAGGGAGGAAGAAGGAGGGAGGAGGAAGGGAAGGGCCGGACTGGAGGGGGCCATAACCAGTGGGGGAGGAGGAGGCGGAGGCGACGGCGGTGCAGCTGCTGCGACGAGCTGGATCGGGCGACAATCGGACGGCTGCGACGGCCGGCGGCGAGGCGACGAGCTGCGATGGCGAGCTCACAGCCTCCTCCCTCCTCCTTCCTCCCTCTTCTCCCTCTCCCCTCCCCTCTGGTTTCGAAGAGAGAGAAAGCAAGAACGAAGAAGAAGAAAAGAAAAGAAAAAAACAAAAAACCCCCAAACGACGTCATTTTGGGGGGCTGCCGGGTAGGGCGGCCGAGGATCCGGATTCCTAGTTAATACACTATTTGATATATGTAATAACACTGTTAACAGTTGAAAACACATAAGAAAGGGTTGGTTTGGGAAGTGGGTTAGCTTTTTGGCTTTTTTGGCTATTTTAGCTTGGGCTAAAAAGCTTGGTTTGGAAAGAATTTTTGACTTTTTGACTTTTTTGACTTTTTTTGTGAGAGAAGAGTGTAATGATTATGGGTTGAATATGATGTTTTGTTTTTTGTGACTAAAATAGCCTATTTTATCTTTTGTAGTTAAAATAGCCAAAAAAGTCCAATCTAGCTCTTTCCAAACGGAGCCAAAAACAAATATTAAAAAAAGGTGAATTAAGGTCAGGAAACAACTACTTAAAAAATTAAAACTCAACAAAATAAATACAGAAATTGAGAAAAAGCGGAAGATACCCCCAAAAAAAGTACAATAAAAAAAATGAATTGAAAGCTGAAAACAACTTAAAAGCAGAAATTGGTCTAAGGTCCCTATCCAACTTTTAGTATGAGGAGAGATCCACAATAATATTTTCTGGTGTCTAAGGTCCCTCAATGTTAGTTTAGTTTATAAAATACCTATTTTACCCTTTTGTATATTATACGTGGTTTTCAATTTTGGAATCTGAAGATTACGTTACTATTTTTGTGGAAGATTACTTTGGGATGAACTTGGCGATCGATGGAGATTTGATGCAAATTTCATGGAAATTTTATAGGAATTTTGTAGTCGTATAGTAGTTGAGTTTCGTTGATCGTGTAGAAGTTGAAGTCGTGTTGAAACTCGAATTTCCAGTAGAGCTAAATCAGGTAAGTTTAATAATCAGTTTAAGTTTTTTATTTTTCATTTGATTTGTATATATGGACTCTGATTTCAAATAAGTTTTGTAGTTTATTTTGAATTAGGTTTTTATTTTCAGTTTTGATCAAAGTGATAGAAAAGCCAGCTTAGTGAATTATTTTTTGATTTTTGAAGTTAATTTTTCATTCTTTGTTATTGACAATGGAGTTGATTTTTCATTCTGTGTTACATGTTTATCAATGATAAGTTTTGTTCTTCGTGTTTGGAGACCGGCTCTGTTTTTCTTCACTGTCTTAAGTTTTGTGCTCTGTTTTTTTCATTTATTCTGCACTTTTCATTTTTCTACACTTTGCTTTGTATTCCAGAGAAAATTATATGTTCATATTCCAGAGAAAATTGTATGTTTATATTCCAGAGAAATTTCTCTGCATTCTGATTTGAGTCCAATAATGCACAATCACACAGAGAAAATTATAAGCTTGTAGTCCAATGAAAATCATAGAGAAGCTTATAATTTGATAACTGATCTTATGTGTGATTTTTGTCTATGATTGTGTTACTTTGCTTTGTATTCCAGAGAAAATTATATGTTCATATTCCAGAGAAAATTGTATGTTTATATTCCAGAGAAATTTCTCTGCATTCTGATTTGAGTCTAATAATGCACAATCACACAGAGAAAATTATAAGCTTGTAGTCCAGTGAAAATCATAGAGAAGCTTATAATTTGATAACTGATCTTCTGTGTGATTTTTGTCTATGATTGTGTTTAATAGTTAGCATTGAATATCCCTGTGATTTTCTCTAGATTCATTAATTCTTCTGTAATTTTGTTTTTGTTATCTTGAAGGTGAATTTAAGATTGTAAATTTCTCTGGACTTTTATTTGAGTCCAGAGAACATTATAAGGTAGGTATTATAATCCAGAGAAAATTATAATTATTAGAAATTTCTCTAGACTTTTATGTTGTTCTTGTGAAGTATTTTTATATTGAACAAGTTATTTTTGGTATTTTTTGTTTTAGTTTAGATGGACAGTGCAGTGTTGTTGCTGTGCAAATATGTGAATGATACTATTATCATTAATGTTTCATGCGAATTGAATTGATGATGCTATGATTTTACTTGCATTGAGTAAGAGACCAGCTGGGAGGCCAAAGAAGAACAAAATTGCTTCTACTGAAGAGTTTAAAAGGGTGATTAAGTGTAGTCGATGTGATAGGATTGATCGCCATAATAAGAGGACATGCAAGGAACCTTTGTTAAATAGTTGAGGATATTACATTTATTGATTGAATAATACATTTAAGAATTACTTTGTGTATTTTGTTTTGTGAAATGTACTTTTTGGACAGTGCATATATAATACCAATTAAATTCATCCAGAGAAATTTTTTAATAACAGTGAAAATTACTTTTTATGTTGCGTTTTTAGAAACAAACTTTGGGAATGCCTTTATAATACCAATCAAATTGATCCAGAGAAATTTTCCTATAGCAGAGAAATTTGCTATGTGCATTGTGTTTGTTGAAATGCGCATTGCGTTTTGTGAGATCAAATTCATCCAGTGAAATTTGTCAATAGTAGAGAAATTTGTGAGGTCAAATTCATCCAAAGAAATTTACTATGTGCATTGTGGCAAATTTATCCAGAGAAATTTGCCAGTAGCAGAGAAAATTACTTTGTGCACTATGTTTTGTAAGGTCAATTTCATCTAGAGAAATTTGTGAGGTGAAATTCATCCAGAGAAATTTACTATGTGCATTGTGGCAAATTCATCTAGAGAAATTTGCCACTAGCAGAGAAAATTACTTTATGCACTATGTTTTGTGAGGTCAAATTCATCCAGAGAAATTTGCTAATAGTGCACTGTGTTTTGTGTGCTCAAATTCATCTAGAGAAATTTGCCAATAGCAGAGAAAACTACAATGTGCATTGTGTTTTTTGAATTTGATGATTGTTTCATACCAACACAGTGCATTATAAATTACATGATCATATAGGCACCCTTTTGGCACGATACGAGTTAAAATTTTTCTGTGAAATTCTGGTAACTTCATACAAGAAAAATTTATTTAGACAATTTTCTTTGTGTGGATTGTGTTGATAATCACCACTAAATATGCATTATAAAAAAAATATTTAACCATTGATAGTTATGAAAATTTACATTAGTTAAAACAATATATATACATATATGTCAAAAACATCATTTCTTCAATGTACGAAAAAAAAAAAATTGAAGGGTCATTCCTAATTACATTGTGTACATTGTCTTCATTTCACTAGTATGCTTTCACTATTATACTTTCAGTTCTTCTTTTGGTGGTATTTCAATTGGTTCTGTCCATGACCGGCCAATTTCGGTCGCAAATCTCTCTATGATTTTCTGTCCTCGTGAACCTTACGTCTTGTTTTGACAATGTTGAACTGATAGGTTCATGGTTGCTATATTGTCTCATTATGTAGCAAACGAAGAGGCCACAATCCACACTGCATACAAATTATAGGTATAGTTAGTTTTAAGAAATATTCAAATTAGATTATCTTATTTATAGAGTTTCTGTTTCTTACTTGGTGTTTATGGTGTTTTGCTGCTTTTACGTTTCGTCATTTTTAGACAATGAAAACATAAAGATGTCAACATGGAGTTGATTTTTCATTTTGTGTTACATGTTTATCAATGATAAGTTTTGTTCTTCGTGTTTGGAGACCGGCTCTGTTTTTCTTCACTGTCTTAAGTTTTGTGCTCTGTTTTAT